GAGGCCTCATGCTTTTCTGGCATATTACAAAATTATAGATGAAAATGACAAAGACCTACATCTCCCAAAAATTCTATATGCAAATTTGCAACAATAATTTTACATTAATGTAAGCTTTGCACTTAAAAGAGAACTTGACTTTATATTTTTTTTGAGAATTTGACTTTAATGTGTAACTGCATCAAGACATTAAATCTGTAAGTCATTGTTAAAAAATAGCTTACTTATTTTAAGCAAATAAAACGTTCTAATCTTTGATATAGTTCTTAGAAACATGAAAATAAAATTCCTTTCCTCAACTGTCCTTTTCCATTTCTCACATATTGATCTTTCCATGTGTTTTAAATGATGATGAAATTAATAGGCACTGTTTTTAATAAACCCAAATCATGGTGCTTTTCAAGTCCAAATATTTTGGGGAAGACCGAGGTGAAAAAGCTGCTTAAGCATTAGGAACTAAGAACAACCGGGAACAGCTTTTGAAGGGCAGCCGAAAGCTGGTGAGGAACTGGGAAGGCAGCTGTGGAAGGCTGTATGGGGCTGGAGGGGGTGGGGGTGGGGGAGGGTGCTTCAATCAAGACAGGTCTGAGGAGAGGGACCAAGGCCTGAGCCCAGGTCAAGCAAGATGGAAGGAGAAACAAAATCAAGGACTGACTGACTGGCCTGTTAGCTTTGAATTAAGGAGGAATACATACCCTGTGGAATAAGCCAAGGCTTGCCTATGAATTCTAACAGCCTTTTAATGTGTGACCTTGGGCAAAAGTTCTCAATATTTTCTGAACCTTTGTTATTATACAATGGGTCATGATACTAATCTAACTGAATTGTATACAACTGGTAGGACAATGTCACACAGGTGCCAGCACAGAATCTGGTACTATGGGTGCTGGGGAATCAAAGACCCTCTGCTCCTGCCAGCCCACCAGACACTGGGTGGACGGAATGCAACTGGAAGATCCTTCATAGGCAGCCTGGGCAATTCGTCCCACGAGTCACCCCAAACTGTATTCAAAATGTAGAGTTATTCTGAAACAGAGATTTATGATACCCCTGTTTTGTCTTAGGATTCTAGATATTGGGATCACTGCTAGCAACAGGTCAACAATTAAGATTTACCTATTTTACAATGAAGTACAAAAGATCAAACTTAATCAAACATGATATATGTTAAAATGATTTTAAAATGAAAATGATTTGAAGTATAAAATTTGAAAACTCTCTTTTTACACTGTAAAATCGTATTTTTTTAAAATTATGTTTTGGGTACTCAAACTCTTACTTCACCTCATTTTATTGTTTCATTTCTCCCCCATACTGTAGAGGTATTTTGATCCTACTTATTTTCTAAACCAATAATAGGATCAATTTTTTTTAAAAAGTCAGACTGGAAGAAAGTTTACAGCTTTTTCAAAGCGTTTTCTCAATCATACTAATAAACCATAAATTCAAACTGCACATGTACTTGAGAAAATACTATTTGATAAGGTCACTGTTTTAGCTATTTAATTATTAAGTTGTTAGAATAGCTAAACCTGACCCAAACAAAAAGGCTGGTTTGGGAAGTGCTACATTTTGGCTGTTCAGTCTATGTATTATTATTATTTTTTTAAATACAGAAAGGACTACATTTGTTTACATAATGAATTGGCTACCGTATTAAATGAAACAATGGCTTTATCTGATTGTATCACAAAACAGTCTGTGAGACATCTATTTTACAAATAGGTTTTTTTAATAAAATTTAAAAAATGTCTTCAATTACTATAAGCACTCTCATGTCTGGAAAAAAAACTTTTAACATCTTAGAACTTATTTCCGATTCAACACTTTATTAGTCACTACTGACATAATTTTGATATTCTCATATTTAGGAAAGCATGTGTAAAATGACTATGCCACACCATCATGCTCACAGGACCCTGGGCCTTGTGGCAGTTTTTAAGGCCCACGGTGGCCATTGAGCCACAAGGTGAGAGTTGTGCAGACAAGTGTGCCACCTACAGGTGAAAGGAGGAACTTAACCCTGGATTGTATTTGTAAGACAAAACTAATAAATGTTATACCATTTTAAATTATTTGCTATTACTTATCTTACTAAGAAATATGGAAATTTTTTATAAAGTTCCATCTGCAGTAACAAAGGCTTTTAGTGGCAGGCTAGTGACTCTTTGAGAGCTCTCACAAGAAGGAAACAAGCTCTGAGATGGTACTAATCACAGGTGCACAGTTCACCAATTAAAAAATTGAATTTAACTGTATTCTCTATAGTAAGTGCTTTGTCTTTTTATGGTTAATATAATATCTGTTTCCAGAAGAACATATAAGTTCTGGAACAACCACCATGATCCATTTAGGCATGTGGACCAAAAGCTAAATTAATTATCAGAGACATTTCTTACTTAAATGAGAAAACTTTCTTTCATTAGGAAGTTTTTTATGGGGCAGCCCGGGTGGCTCAGTGGTTTAGCACCTCAATGAGCCCAGGGCGTGATCCTGGAGTCCCAAGATCAAGTCCCACGTAGGGCTCCCTGCATGGAGCCTGCTTCTCCCTCTGTCTCTCTGTCTCTCTCTCTCTCTCTCTCATGAATAAATTTTTTAAAAAAAGGGAAGTTTTCTATGTAATTTTCTTCTGGAAAAGAAATAAAGTTTATTTAGAGTAATTCTGTTTGGCAGACAGTCAGGACTTCTAAAATATATACCAGCAATTGTTAAGGTTACAGCAAAACTGCCAATTCTATTAAGCATGCATAAAAATTCAAGCGTCTAATGGCTAGAAAACAGGCTGATTATAAAACAGAGATTTATAATATTCCTGTTTTGTCTTGGGATTCTGGATATTGGGATCACTGCTAGCAATGGGCCAACAATTAAGATTTACCTATTTACAACAAACTACAAACGATCAAACTTAACCAAAAACATGACATATATTAGAATGATTTTTAAAGTGAAAATGATTTTAAGTATAAAATCTGAAAACTCCTTTTTCTACCCTGTAAAATCATATTTTCTGAGACTAGGTTTTGGGTTCTTAAACTCTTATTTCACCTTTTTTTGTTTCATCTCCACTCCAACAGCCTTTAAAATAAAAGGTGATTTTAAAGCTACATCCATTTATGTGACTTTCTAGAAAACTCATTCTAGGAATGCTGTTTGCTGCTAACTTCTTACTTGTTTTCATTAAATTTGAAAATTCTACAATTGTTTATTATTTCCAAGTAAATTTTTTTCCATGCAAAATATCTCTTTATAAAGTATAGTGTTTAATATTAACTAACCCTTTGTCTCCTCTATCACTGAGGGATTTCATTATCCGTGATAATGTCCCTTCCCTATTTATATCCCTGAATCTTCGATACACCCTCACTTGCATCATTCTGTGAAAGATGCTTTCCCCTGTAATGATGGCTACAAATACCTGAGAATGTAGTACAAACATTTCTACTTTCACATCTCTATTTCTGTATTTATTTAGGAAATAAATGAGACTGGTCCAAGTCCACCCTGTTATATAGAGATGTCCTCTACGCACTGCTGGCATTGGAGCAAACATGACAAGGACTACTCAGTAGGACAGTATGGTTATTAGTTCAGATAAAAGCTCAATGATGAAAGCTCCAAGTGTGTATCAGGGGATGTACTGCAAGAGTTTTTTTCTTTTTTTAGAGATTTTATCTTTTTATTCCTGAGACACACACAGAGAGAGGCAGAGACAAAGGCAGAAGGAGAAGCTGGCTCCCCATGGGGAGCCTGATGTGGAACTAGATCCCAGGACCCCAGGATCATGATCTGAGCCAAAGGCAGACTCTTACCAACTGAACCATCCAGGTGCTCCTGCAAGAGTTTTAAATAGGGTTGAAGGGTCAAGTAGCTTCAAGAAGCACATTCTGATGCAACAGAGAATAACTGGGTAACCTCTTACATGTATCCTGAGGTATCAAAAAGGTGTGTCTGTATTATACATTCAAAGAATAAAACAAATATAGAAAGGACGACTACTTCTTAGTTTTTGAATGACTCAAGGTCACTGAAAAGTATGCATAATTTCAAGGGTAAATTCTGAAACATTCTACATACCTCTAAATGGTCAAGAAGACCTAGTAATAACATGAAATGTTTTGAAATTTCTTTTTTTTAAATTTCTTGAATCTTTCCTATTTCTTCTTCCTATTCCCAATGCTCCCATCTTAATTCTGATCATTTTTAAGTTCTATATTCACTTAACCACTTCCTAATTAATCTGTCTCCAGGCTCAATCTCCCACTCTATGCTACCACTGCCACATTTTCAAATCCATCCTCCAAACTGAGTCCAAAATAATCTCTGTAAAGTATAAACCAATCCTATCACTTGCCTGCTTGACATTTATACAACAAATCAGTACCCAGAGTTCCTGTTCCCCTCCTTGCCCTCTGCCCACTGGCAGGAGTCTTCCCAAGGGAGGAAAACCAGGGACAGGCCACATCCAGGATCTACAAGGATGGGCTGTCACTAGCAGCTCCTTTAACCTTTCTGTTTCAACTTAACCATCAATCATATTCCTTTGGAAGAAATTAAGATGAGGACCCCTAATTTATAAGTGAGGTCTTGTACAAAAACATCCTAACTACTAAAATAATAGTTTTCAAACATTTTTAAATGACCAGAATAATTTTCTTCAAATAATATCTACAGCAGAACTCCAACAAAAAGTGGTTGAAACAGTATTTTTCAATTTGATAAGATAGGCTGAAGTTTGATCATATAGCCCTATGTAAGCCACAGAATAAATTCAAATTTGGTTGGCACAAGGCAAGGTCAGCAGAGAGAAGTAGGCATGTGATGAAATTCAATTTACATTTTTGAAAGACCAATGTGGTTGCTGTATGTAGAAGAGATGAAACTACTGAAAATTTTAATGTGTTTGATGTATTTTCATGAACCCCAATTTAACCTGCAAAAAGTGATATGCACTTTCCACCTTAGGGGTTCCATACCATGATATGAGAGTCACAGAATACCTGATCCTCGCTGGTTAATCCCAGGTGCATCACAAGGTAAAAATGCACCAGGAAGTCCGAGTTTGGTAGAACGTCCTGGCGTCTGGTCATCATGGCACATATCAGTCTGTAGGCTTGTAGCTTGCCTTCCTTATATTCATTTGGCAACGTTGTTGCCTGTCAAGTAGATGAAGTTTAAAGATTTAATTAACTCCAGATGCGGACCATTTCGACATTTCATTTACTTCTCAGTATTCCATAAGAGTTGTTTATAGAGTGAGGGTTATAGTGGCTTTAGTAAGATTCAGCTTGTCTTCAAAATGTGCAGTCTTGGGCAATTACATTTTTTAAACTCAATTTCAGTAAGGAAGAGGAAATTGCAATGAAAGAATAAACACATATCCACTTGCCTTAAATAGCCATGATGCAAACATCCTGAGTGGTGGGATCAGGACCGGTGGAGAGGGAGAGGACTGGTTATCTAGGCTTATTGCCAGATTATCCCGTATCTAAATCACAAGGAGGAGAATTTTAGGAAGGCCATGCTTAGCTTATCCCAACAATATTTCAATATTGTGTTCCATGGCCAAATAGCTGCTTCTCATTAAATTTCTACATGTTGAGTGAAAACCTATAACATTTACAATTTTTTCTTTTATTGTGAGGTCTACCATCATTTTGAATTGTATGACTTTACCGTACATGGTTTTAGATTTAATACTAAACTAGGGCATTGTTTTCCCTTGAGTATCTGCCTGGGGAGGTCCTGAACTTTACATGGCAAGGAATGGTTTAGCAAATTATACTGTATAAATATAAATAATTTTTGAAAAACAAAATTAAAAACAAAAAACTTAATAACCTAGGGAAAGCATACATTGTAAGCAAAAACCAGAATGAAAATTATATGTATTCTAAGATTCTACTTTTGTAAAATATGTTTACCCACATAAATAAAACTGTATATTTATACTGGTTATCTATGTAGGATGCTGATGTTAACTTTTTCTTATATATTTTTCAAATTTTGTACAATAAAGCCAGTATTACTTTTATAAAGAAAATAAAACTATTCAGTACCCTATCCTTTAGTGTCCTATAGTAATATTCTACATATGCCTTAAACAAAATTACTCTTGTGCATTTATAAAATGACCAACCTATGTGATTTATATTTATTTTTTGACAATGAAACATACTTTGTCTACACACCTAATCTGTGTTCAGAACATGTTAATTGCAACAGTTTTTATGTTAAATGATAAATAAATTCCCCCCCCCCATCAGAATAAAAGGTAACATAGCAGGACATACCTTTGCTAGTTTGTACCAGAGTTCATAGAGATAGCCAAATACTTTGGCATGAATCTTGGGTGACTGGATATTATTCACATCCCCGAGGATTCCCAACACTCTTCGCCATAACACAGCAGCAGAGTCAGGGTGCCAACCAGTGAGGTTCCCTCCAGCAATTATACTACAGTCATCTGCAAGGCACTCACTGCTATCTATGGAGAGAAACATGTCTGTAAACACAATCTTGATTTCATCATTACAACTTTTTTCTCCTATGTTTTTTTTAAAGATTTTATTTATTTATTCATGAGAGATACACAGAGAGAGTCAGAGACATAGGCAGAGGGAGAAGCAGGCTCCCTGCAGGGAGCACGATGTGGACTCCATTCCAGGACCCCAGGATCACGACCTGAGCCAAAGGCAGATGCTCAACCACTGAGCCAGCCAGGCATCCCCAGCCTTTTTTCTTTAATGCAAATTACCAATGCTTGACAAGGTAAGTATTCAGAGTAAAATAATTACAATGAAAAGTGTGCAATGGCTGACAATTTGAAAGGACAGAAAAGCTGAATCACTGAAGAAAGATCAAATGACTTTGATTCTTTGAACTAAAAGGGCAACAACCTAGAGATGATAAAACAGTTTCTGGAGCTCCTGTGAAAGGTTTTATAAGGCAGGGGAGGGGAAGGAGAGAACCTTGAGCAGGATGAGTGGGGAAGAGGGCTATGAAAAATAGTAGCCAGGAAAGGCCTCATGGCTGGGGTGACATTTGTGGTGGCTGGTATTAACTCAGGTTTATTGGGGTATAATTTACTTATGATAAATTTTATCTTTCTTACACTCAAAGAGTTTTAAGAAGTGCATACAACCATGTAAGTGTTACCACAAACTGCCATGAAAATTGATACAAGGAATAAGCACTTCAAAAAGGCCCTTTTGTGGTGAGTTTCCTCCCCCTATTCTTTGCCCCTTGCAATCACTGTTGTTCTCTATCCCCATAGGTTCACCCTTCCCAGAATATCATATAAATGGAATCCTACAGTATGTATCTTTAGTCTCAGTGCTGTCACAGAGGTGAATGCGTTGGAGATTCACCATGTGGTGGTTTCTTCTTATTGCAGATGAATATTCCAGTTTATGGATGAATCCTACTTTGTTTATCCATTCACCTGTTGAAGAACATGTTGAAGGACATGTTTCCTGGTTTTAGTGATTATAAATAAGGCTATAATAAACATATGTGTGCAGGTTTTTGTATGAATGCATGTTTTTAGTTCTCTTTTTAAAGACTGGAATCACAAAATGACAGTATTTCTTTGATATTTCTTCCTGTTAGCGAACCATATCCTCTAAGGGTGCCTGAAAGAGGGGCCTGTCCCTACATATCTTCAAGTGTCTGATCCCTGACTTGTAGTTCACAGTTTGGTTTGGTATAGAAATCTGTGATGGAAAAGCTTTGCTCCAATTTCTTATCATTTCATTCGTGATTTTAAAGTCAACAGCATTCTAGTGATTGAAATTATTTCATGAAAAATTATTAAGTCTGCAAAATTTTAGGATCCTCTTCTTGTACCTAGTGTTCAGAATCCTCATCATGTGCCCTAGTATCTATTTCTAGCTACTGTATTTGCCAATTCATTGTCATTGGCGCTTTCAACCACAATACTCGGGTGTTATATTGACTTCCACTGACTTGATTTTATTTCTACTGTTGTATTTTTAATATTCAAAAGCTCTTTCTTGTTTTCTGTTCATTTTTATACTTCTGATCTTTGTTTCATGGATGCAATATACTCTTATTTCTCTAAAGATATTAATAGCTTTTTAAAATTTTCTTACCCAGAATATTCTTTTTTTGCTTACTATAAATTTAAAATATTTTAGTGTTATATTAGTTTCAGGTGTGTAATATAACAATTCAACAATTCTATACATTACTCAGTGCTCATCAAGATTAAGTGCACTCTTAATCCCTTTGGTGGAGAAATGGGTGAAACAGACTTTTTTTTCAGACTCCTTTTAAGATCTGCTCCACCTTAGTTCACCGCATATTCTTATATATGTCTCATATGCTTCATATTAGACATCCTCTTCAAATGCCTGGGGATCCTGGCTATCTGTTCATATTTAAGAAATATGAAGGAGCTGAATGGAAGTATAATGCACAGGTATGATCTTTACTGAATCTTACCATGTTCTCAGAGAACTTCAGACATACATATCTTTAGGGTTTGGGTTTTTTTTTCTCTAGAACTCAAATTCTAGGAAAAAGGCACACTATTGCTCAGAACAAGGAAACTCTTTAGTTCCTTTGTTTTCAAGATAGCATCTCTACAACTTAGCTGAGTATTGGTGATTCCAGGCCCGAAATCTTCTAATTTATTTGCTCTTTTTTCTGGAATTAAGTTCTAACATCTCTTAAAAGGACTTACAGACTTCCTGCTTTTAGCCCCACCATTACCTCCTACTTCTATAGCTACCTCTTACAGGCAATTTTCTAACACTTTTAGGGAACCTATTTTTTTATTTTTTTATTTTTATTGTATTCAGGTTGCATCTTGGCTTTCCCTAGTGCTGACACAGGATTTGGAGTTCTCAGGTCTGCCGATGCCTTGGTCATGTTGGTCACTATTGTCTTTTTTTTTCTGGTATCCTTGATCTTGTGGATTTATGTCTAACTTAATATTAGACAAATGTCTAATTTAACATCCCCTATTTGCTAACACCTTATGCAAGTATGGTACATCTGCTATAATTAATGAGCCAATATTGAGGCATTGTTTATATAAAGTCCAAACTTTATTCAGATCTCTTTAGTTTTTAACTCAATGTCTTTTTCTTGTTCCAAGATTCCATCCAGGATACCACATCACATTTAATTGTCATGTCTCCTTCATCTCCTCTTGGCTGTGTCCTTGTTTTTGATGACCTTAATTGTTTTGAGGAGAACTGATCAGGTATTTTTGTAGAATGTTCTTCAGTTGGGATTTATCTGCAGTCTTTCTCCTAATAGGCTCTTTTTTTTTTTTTTTGCATTATTATTTGCTTTTGCATCTTTGAAGTGAACTTCTCTTAGTTCTGATGTATTTATGATTTTTTCCCCAATATTCTTGGACTTCGTTTGCTAATACTTTATTTAGGACTTTTGCTGATATGCTTTTAAGTGAGATGGACTCTTTTTCCTTTTTCAATACTGACCCTGTCTGGTTTTATTGTCAAGGTATCACAAGGTAAATAACAGAATTTAGAGGGCTTTCTTTCTAATCTCTGGAATAGAAAATGATAGTTTTTCTTTTATTTGAAGCTTTAGTAAAACAGGGAATTGTCTTTTATTTTTATAAATCTATTCAAATTAACCTACTGTATTATTTTTAAAAACTTATATTGTTTTTATAGTTCTGTTCCCTTTTTACTCTCATTATTTTTTCCTTGGTTAATCTTGCCTATCTTATTGATGCTTTTAAAAAGTGTTTTTTTAAAAGATTTTATTTATTTATTCATGAGAGACAAAGAGAGAGAGAGAGAGAGAGAGAGCGCCAGAGACACAGGCAGAAGGAGAAGCAGGCAGAAGGAGAAGCAAGCTCCATGTAGGGAACCCGACATGGGACTTGATCCCGGGTCTCCAGGATCACACCCTAGGCTGAAGGCGGCGCTAAACCGCTGAGCCACCCAGGCTGCCCTATTAGTTCCTTTTTAAATTAACTTCTATATATCATTATTCTGCCATTCTTTTCCTAATTTTTTGAATAGGACACACAGATCAATAATTTTCTCTTTTCATATATGCACCTAAGGCCATATATTTTTCTCCACATAAGCCTTCAAATACAAACTAGAGATTTTGGTATGTAGCCTTCACTGTAGATTTGTTTGAAATATTTTCTAATTCACAATTTAATTTCTTTTTGGGTTTAATTTATTTGAAGTGTAGCTTTTAATTTCTTATGTATTTTTCTTTTATCTTTTTGTCCTTAATTCATTTTTATCATATTCACAGGATGTGGTATAGTTTCAAAGCATGCGGTGTTAAGTTTTCAAAGCATGGACATGTTAAGACTTAATGATCTAATTGGTTAATTTCTGTAAATGTTCCACGTGCTTTTAAAAATCACATATTTTTGGGATCCCTAGGTGGCGCAGCAGTTTAGCGCCTGCCTTTGTCCCAGGGCACAATCCTGGAGATCCAGGATCGAATCCCACGTCGGGCTCCCGCTGCATGGAGCCTGCTTCTCCCTCTGCCTGTGTCTCTGCCTCTCTCTCTCTCACTGTGTGCCTATCATAAATAAATAAAAATAAAAAAAAATAAAAAAATAAAAATCACATATTTTTAATTTAATTTCAAAGTTTTTTATATATATCCATTCAATTAGGATTAATTGTATCATGTGTGTCTTCTCTATTCCAATATTTTTTCTGCTTAACTCATCAATTAATGAAAACTCATTAAAAATTTTCTACTATGATATGGTTTTATCAGTAGTTCCTTGTTATTCTGTCAAATTTTGCTTCATGCATCTGGAGGCTATGAAGTTCATATAAATTCAGAATTATTGCTCTCACTAATAAGTCATTTATGCTTTAAAGTTTACATGACTGACATATAGTTAGCTCAGCAGTCTGTCTTTCTTCCTAGCTACCCATGTATTTATTTACTTAGGATCTTCCTATACATTATGTATTAGGGTTACCTCTTGTAAACATCATATGGCTAGGTTTTATTTCTTTTTTAAAATATTTATTTATTTATGAAATTATTTATTTTTGATTTATTTATTCATGAATTTATTATTTATGATTTATTTATTCATGAGAGACACAGAGTGAGAGAAAGGCAAAGACACAGTCGGAGGGAGAAATAGGCTCCCCACGGGGAGCCTGATGCGGAACTCGATCCCAGATCCCAGGATCATGCCCTGAGCCAAAGGAAGACACTCAACCACTGAACTACCCAGTCATCCCAGGTTTTATTTCTTCAATCTAATTTAAGAGCTTCTGACTTTAACTGCAAGTTTACATGGTTTGTATTTATTGTAGTTGCTGACTTTAAATTTTATTTCTAACATCTTACTTTCAGCTTCCTGTTTAAGTCACTTTTGCTTTGTTTCTCTCTTTTTAAGTTGATTGATTTGTTTAAGCAATCTCTACACCCAATGTGGGGTTCAAACTCATGACTGGACCCTGAGATCAAGAGTCAGCATGCTCTTCCAAATGA